TCCTGCCGTATGTGGGGGGCCAAGAAGTCCCCCGCCCCCGCCTCCTCCTGGACCTGCTTTTCTCCACACAGGGTCCAGGAGCTGCAAGGACCCCGGTGCCCTTGCCAACGGGCCCAGGGAGCAGCACGGTGACGCCGTGTGAGGGCAGGGCCTCAGGGCCACTGGCCGCGCCCTCCCCAGCCTTCCTGTTCCCGCTGTTGCTGGCGTCTCCCACCAGGCCACATGCCTGCACGGCCAGCCGGGGCCCCCTGGACACCGTCCACCTCCGGACAGCTCTGCCACGGGAGGCGATGTCCCCGCGGCCACCCCCCAGCCGCACCTGAGACCGGGCTGACCCCTGCCGGCTCCACCGCTCTCAGATTCCCAGAGATCGGGGGACACGGCACACGGGCCCTGGGCCCCCGGCCAGCCAGCACACGCGCCCTGAGAACAGGCTGCGGCCCCACACCTGCGTCCACCCTGCTGCGGGGCCTGGGCCTCACCAGCCCTAGGGGACGCCCAGGTCCCGTCCCAGGGGCTCCCGGCCACCCCCAACCCCTTCTGCGGCACTGCACAACCCAAGGCAGACCCTCACTGCCAGACACCCCCTCACCCAGGGCAGACCACTCCCCCCAGACCGGGCCTCCACATCTGTGCTCAGTGGGGTCCACACAAGGGAGACCCCAAGAGTCCAAGGGGGCTCCAGCCGGAGACAGCAGGGCCCCGGGCCACTGCAGGGGGCTTCAGTGTGGCAGACGACCCTCTGGGGTGGGGCGGCCAGGCCTGCCCAGGCGGGCACTGAGGGGGTCCCACCCTCTCCACCGCCCCCACACACACAGCCGGAAGCCGGGACCCAGCCCCAGCCCCAGGCGTGGGTGTGGGAGCACGCCCACGGGTGGCTCGCGGGCAGGGCACGGGCACAGCTGTGGTGGTGGCGCCGACCTGGCCCCGGGTGACGTCTCATCTCGAAACACCAAACCTTCGGCCCTGGGACGCAGCACCCCTGCCCGCCCCAGGGCCCCGCTGCGGCCTCAGCTGCCCGCGCGGCCTCCCAGAGCGTCCACGGGCTGGGGTGGGCCCCTGCAAAGTGCCCCGAGGCTGCCCGCTCTGGCCTGTGGGCAGAGGACCCGAGCTGGCCAAACCACAGCCCCAAGTGCCCGGGGTCACCCTGGGCCTCAGTTCCAAAGGGCGCCTGCCTGTGCCCAGGGGCCTGCCCGCTGCCCGCCACCGCCAGGCCATCACGGGAGCCGATGAGAGAGGAGTCACTAGGCACAGGCCCACCCCCCACCCTGCACCCCTGTGCCCCGCACCCCACACCCTTGCACCTTGTACCCCTGCATTCCTGGACCTCTACACCCCGTACCCCTGCACCCCTGCGCCCCGTTCCCCGCAGCCCTGCACCCCTAAACCTGCAGCCCTGCCTGCACCCTGCGCCTCTACACCCCATACCCCTGCACCTCTGTACCACGTACCCCTACATCCCACACCCCTGCACCCTGTGCCCCCTGCACCCCGTACCCCTGCATCCCTGTTCCCTGCGCCCATACGCCCCCGTACCCCAACACCCCTGCGCCCCACACCCCTGAGCCCCGCACCCCCACGTCCCTTCCCCCTGTGCCCCTACACCCCGTACCCCTGCACCCCTCTGCCCCTCCACACAAGCCCTGCATCCTAGGCCCGTACCCAACACCCTGTACCCCCTGCCCTGCCGCCCGGCAGATGTCAGTGGGCAGTCGGTGGGGGTGGGGCGGGGGCAGGGCTGCGCGACCACATGCAGGCGGAGGGGCCAGCGGGGCCGAGGCGGGCACCGCGCACCCCCACCAGTTGGCCTGGAAGCAGCGAGGTGCAGGGGGGCCACGGGGCAGGCCGGTGGGCCGGGCAGCACTGGACATGCTCTATTGCCAGGACACCGGGACCCCCACAGGGGAGCTCGGCCATGCCGAACGGGAGCGCAGAGGGGACGGAGGCCGTCAGCGCAGACACCCGGAGCAGGGGCACCACGGAGCGGTCAGGCCGAGGACATGCTACCCCACCGGGGACAGGGAGGTCGGGGCCCACGGGTGCCCCCCAGGCCCTCGGGCCTGACCTACCGCAAACCGGGACAGCGGAGCCTCCCTGGAGCGTGGGGAGACGGCCTGATGCCCTGCTCACGGGGCCCTGAACGGGTGGCCACGGGGGCAGCAGGCCAGAGAGGCAACGCCACCCCCCGACAGACAGACAAGGCCGCCACGCCCGTGTCCAGCCCACCCAGCTACACAGCTGCTCCCTCGCCAGTGCTCCGGGTCTAAAGTCACTCTAAGAACGAGGAACTGGAACCCACCCCAGGGGCAGACGGTGAAGCCTCACGGGGAGGACGATGACAGGGCGGCAGAGGGGTCACATCGGAGCTCCCTGTGGCAGGCCAGACGGCCCGGGGCAACTCCGCCAAGAGAGATGGAGCAGGCACCGCGGGCCCCGTCTTGTAAGAAGGCGCGGGCCGCGTCCTGTGTAGAGACGGCAGAGGCCACGTCTCATGCGTGTAGAGACAGCGCGGGCCATGTCCCCCGTGCGGAGACAGTACGCGGTTTCTCTTCACACACCCCTGCCAAGCTCAGGCGCGCTCCGGGGCACAGGGCAGGGCAAAGCCGCCTTCGCCCCCCCCGAGTCCAGCTCTTGGGGCCCAGGTGCCCCCCTTTCGAGGTGCGGATTCAGGCAGGGACCCTGATTCAGCTCCTGCTCCTCCCAGGACCGTCCCCTCCCCCCTGCCGTCAGCCAGGGCCCACCTCAGGCCTCCACTTTGATCCGCAGCCCAAACCCTCATCAATGAAGCCGCCCGCTGTGGCCCAGAGACGCCGCGCCCTGGCCCAGAACGCACAGCCAAGACTGGCTGCTCCTGACGCGGCACAGGGGCACCAGGGTGACTGTTCCGGCCCCCAACAGGGATGCTTGGGTGACAGTGGACAGAGAGCTCGGCCTGGGCGGGCCGGAAGCCACGCCATGCCCACCGCGGGGAGAAGCAGCAGAAGGAGCTCAGAGCCCCCGGACTGCCCCGGCCGTGGACACAGACCGACCCTTGCAGAGAAGTGCCCCCAGGGGGGAGCGAAGCCGCCTTCCAGTCACACCGGCCACTGGCCGCCTTCTGGGACCCCAAGCCATGAATGGGGACAGGGACGGGGGCAGAGGGGCCCGGGAACAGGGCTCCCGGCGGCGGCTTCACTCGGACAAGAGGCACCTTGTGGGCAGCTAGGGGCGAGCTGTCAGCTGCCGCCCGGCCCGGACGCCGCCACCCAGGCCGTCACACGCGTGGCCCGGCTCGGACCCCGTCACAGAGCTGCATAACCAGGCTTAGACGGTCACAAAGTCCACCGAGAGTAACCGGCAGCTCAGGGGACAATCCCCGTGCCAGCGGCTCCATCGACCTGGTGAAAGTTCGTAACTGGTTCCTGTCCGATGGGGGACGGTCAGGCCCGGGGGGTGTTGGGGAAAAGCCGCGGAGCAGGGGGCCAGCTGGTCGGAGGAGATAAGCAGAGAGCAGGTGTGTGCAGGAATGCAGGGGAGAGGGGAGCAGGCCGAAGGGGAGAGGGGGGTGGGGGTGTGGGGAGCAGTGGTATAGGGGTGCAGGGGTGCGGAGTGCGGGGAGCATCGGTATAGGGGTGCAGGGGTGCAGAGTGCAGGGAGCAGGGGTGAGGGGAGCAGCGGTATAGGGGCGCAGGGGTGCGGAGTGCAGGGAGCATTGGTATAGGGGTGCAGGGGTGCAGAGTGCAGGGAGCAGGGGTGAGGGGAGCAGCGGTACAGAGGCGCAGGGGTGCAGAGTGTGGGGAGCAGGGGTGCGGGGAGCATCGGTATAGGGGTGCAGAGTGCAGGGAGCAGGGGTGCGGGGAGCAGTGGTATAGGGGCGCAGGGGTGCGGAGTGAGGGGAGCCGGGAAGCAGGGGTGCAGGGGCGCACTGACAGGCCTTTCTCTGCCTCCGAGCTCACTAGGCCAGGGCCAGGCCCCCACCCTCGCCTGCCCCGGCTCCAGGAACCACTTTGGCACTTCGGAGGGACCGACGGACGGACGGACGGACATCCCGGGCCAGGGCAGCGGAGAACCCTGGGCAGAGGCAGGCGCCGGCCCAGAGGCCCAGCCCCCAGGGCCACGCCAGCACCCGCGGGCCCTACCTACCCCGTGGGGCGGGGGCGGCGGCCACCCCGGGGCCCCAGCCTGAGAGGGACCGGCCGGGGTGGGTGCGCGGGAGGCGGTCCGGCCCGCGGGTGCCCGGCTGGGGCAGGGGCCCAGGAGCGGCCAGCAGGCACGGGCCGGGCGCGCGGGTTTGGCGGAGCCAAGGGCCCCGCCGGGTGGGCCCAGCCGCGCCACGGGGCGGCGAGGACCCTCGTCCCGACCCCCTCCTCCGGCCCCCCGGGGAAACTGAGGCCCGGGGCCACCCGGGGCCGTCCTGCCCAAGGTCAAGGGCAGGTGTGCCCCGGAAGTCAGAGTCCGGCCGGCCGCCGGCCCGCAAGGGCACCCCTGCGGGGAGGCGGCCCCGGGGTCCACGCGCGGAGGCCCCGGCACCCAGCGGCGGGCGAGGGCGCCCCAGGGGTCGCCGGCCCCGGAGACGCGCGCGCGGGCCGGCCCGGCTGCAGGGGTCCCTGCGGGGACCCGGCGGCTCCCCCCCGGCTCGGGTGCGGGCGGCCCCGCGGCCCCTCCCGCGCAGGTGAGCCCCGAGCGCCCCCACCTGCGGCGGGCCTGGCCCCCACCCGGGGCGGCGCGCGGGGCCGCGAACAAAGAGCGCGGAGGTGGGCAGGGGGCGCGCGCCGCGGCGCCCACAACTTTTTGGCGCGGTCCCGGCGGGGGTCGCGGCGCGCGGGCAGCAGGACCCGGCGGGCCGCGCCCCTGCCCGCGCCCACCTGCCCGCGCCCGGCCCGCCCGCGACCGAGCCGGGCCCGGGGGGCGCGCGCGGGGGGCGCCGCGCGCGGGGGCGTGTGCGCGCAGGTGGGCGCGCGCGGCCGCGCCCCGGCCCGGGTCCGCCGAGGTGCGCGGGGTCGCCCGCGCGCGCCGCTTACCCTGCGCGGTGGTCGGGGCCAACTCGCATCCACAGGCCGCGCCCGCGGCCGCGCTGCACCTGCCACCGGACCCGGGGCCCAGCGGCGCCGGGAGCCGGGACGAGGCGGCCCCGCGGGTCCCGGCCACGAGCGCGGAGGCGGCGGCGGCGGCGGCGGCGGCGGCGGCGGCGGCGGCGGCGGCAGCGCCAGGTCGCGCGCGCTCGCGTCCCGCTGCGCCGCGTCTGCGCGCCCCCGGCCCGGCCTGCGCAGCCGCCGCCTCGCCCCGCCCCGCCCCGGGCCCGCCCCCAGGGAGAGGCCCCGCCCCGCCCGCCCGCCGGCGGGCCCGCGCAGCCGCCGCCTCGCCCCGCCCCGGCCCCGCCCCCAGCGCCAAGCTCCGCCCCTCCCGCCGCCGGGCCTGCGCAGTCGCCCACCCGAGAGGGGCCCGGCCCCGCCCCCAGAGCTAAGGCCCGCCCCTCCCGCCGGCGGGTTTGTGCAACCGCAGCTCCGCCCCGCCCCTTCCCCCGCCCTCAATGACAAGCCCCGCCCCTCCCGCCGGCGGGCCTGCGCAGTCGCCGCCTAGGCCCCACCCCCAGCGCGAAGCCCCGCCCCTCTCTCCCGCTGGCCGACGCGGTCGCTGCCTCATCCTGCCCTTGGCCACGCCCCCAGCACCAAGCCCCGCCCCCAGTGGGCTCGCGTCTCCGCCTCGTTTCGCCCCGCCCCGGCAGAAGCTCCGCCCCGCCCCGCCCCGCCCCGCCCCGCCCCACTCAGCGCACGGTGCTTTAAAGGGGCCGCATCCCCGCCTCGCAGGGGTCGCGCCTGCCTTGGCGCCTCCGCGCTCCTGCGCGCGCGCGCGCCCGCGCGGACTCGGTCACGCGGCGCCGCCTTTGTTTGGGTGGCCACGTGCGTCCCTGCCACACACACGCACGCACGCAAACATACGCGCACACACACGCACGCAAACACGCATGCCAACACACACATGCGCGCACACACACAAACACACGCACACGCGCGTAAACACACGCACACACAGGCACGCAAACACACACACGCATGCCAACACACACGCAAACACACACGCACACGCGCATACACACACGCACGCAAACACACGCACAAACATGCACTCACACACATGCACGTACACATGCACACATGCACGCACAAACATGCACTCAGACACGCACACAAGCACGCACGCACACATGCACACTTACAGGCACACTTAACACATGCACTCACACACCACGCACACACAGAAGCGTGCACACCCACACCACGCACATACACGTACACACACATGCACACACATGCACGCACACACACACCATGCGCACACACTGACACACTCGCGCGCACGCACACGCACGCGTGCGAGGTCTAGTCTGGCCTGGCCGTGGCCCTGGGCCTGGCCCTCCTGGGAGTGGAGCCTGTGCACTAGAACTTGGTGGCCTTGGCTCCCCTGTCCACCAGGGGGACCCCGAGCGGCAGCGCAGACCCCGCCCTCCACTGCCCTTGGGGCCAGCCCACCCCTGACTGCCACAGCCCCCTGCCTGCCCCAGGACCCTCCTGGCCCGTCCTCCTAAAGCCCAGCTCAGGACCCCCCAAGCAGCCCCCGCTGGGGTCAGGGCCCAGGGGAGGGAGGCGAGAGTCCACAGCCAGCGACCTCCAGAATGGGCCGTGACCCTCCCTCCCGCCCACCACCAGGGAGGGCCCGAGTCCCGCAGGCCCCCTGACACCCGCCTGGCCTGCAGGCCCCTCTGCATGGACAGACGCCTTTCTGGGGGTGCCCTGTGGCCCCCACTCAGCCAGGGGCCGACTGCCCCACGGCCTCCCTGTGGCTGCGCTCCCGCCGCTGTCCTCACCTTTTCTCTGGTTCTGGCCGCCGCCCAGCCAGTGCCTGGGCCTCCCGGGGGGCAAGGGGGGCGTCAGGGCCAGTGTGAGAGCGCAGGGATGCGCCTTGGCACCCCAAAGGCACAGGGACGCGCCCGCCTGGCAGGGGCGAGCGGGCAGACGCCGTCCTCGCAAGTGACGCCCAGAGAGCAGTGGGGAATTCCGGGGGGCGGAGTGGACATCAGCTTGGCAGTGGGCGGGAGGGTCAGTGGTTAGGACAGCAGTGCGTGGCCAGGCGTGCTCCACCTGCCGTCCCCTCTGTCCCCTCCCAGGCTCCTGACCACTCCTGGCCGCCACGCCCCCTCGCACCTTGCCCTCCCCCAGCAGGCACGGTCACCTGCCTGTACCCACCCGCCCTGACCCTCCCAGGTGCCCGCCCCACCTCCGGGCCAGGTGCGCCCCACTTCCTGCAAGTCTCCCCGACCCGCCTCGGACCCCGCGCCCCTGCTCTTCCCACTAAGCAGCTGCAGGAGGTCACAAGGCGCCGTCCACGCGCCTCACTGGCCCGGCAGTGTTGTCCTGGTGGAGCGGGCAGATGTCACTGTCACACGCCCAGGGGAACCTGGGGGGCGGGTGGAGGGGGCCTGTGCCCCTGCCCTGAGGGGGATGCCCGGACTGGGGGACCAGGCTGGCCACAGACGAGGCCCCGTGGACACGGTCTCTGCACCCCGGGGCCTAGGGGCTCCCCAAGTCTAGATGGAGGCCGGCAGACCCCAGACCAGAGAGCGGCCCTTGGGTAGGGGTCATTAGCGACAAAGGGGGCACACGCCTCACAGGGAACCTACCTCAAAGGGTGCACCTAACAACACGCACCTCGCAGGACACACACCTCACAGGAAACACCCCACGGGGCTCACTTGTTCTGGCGCTCAGGAGTGCGTGGAAGGAGCTGCCGTCCATTGGCTGAGGCTGCTGCCGGGCCCAGGGGCCACCATCCGTCCGTTCCTGCTCCCTCTCTTGCCTGGCCGTCATCGCTGGCCCCACTCCCGGGGGTCCTGGTCCTCCCGCCATCCCAGCTCTGCCGTTGGGCGGAGTCACCTCAGGCGCCGGGCTCCTTGGCCAGGCCCCTCTGGCTGCTCTGCCAGGCTGGGACGGAGGGTGCCCTTCTGGCCCCTCGTCTTCCGTGAGCACCTCATTTCTGCTCACCTGCTCTCTCCTACCCAGGCCGTGCCGACGGAGCGTCTGGCAGGTGGGCCCAAGAAACACCCAGACGTGATCAGGGTTCGGGTACTCCACGGGGAGACCAGAGCAGACAGGATAGACATCACCTCCAGAAGGAGATTAAGAAATTCAGAATTTGGGGCTGGAGAGACAGCACAGCAGGGAGGGCATTTGCCTGGCACGCGGCCAACCCGGGTTCAATCCCCGGCATCCCATAGGATCCCCCCAGCACCGCCAGGAGTGATTCCTGAGGGCAGAGCCAGGAGGAAGCCCTGAGCATCGCCGGGTGTGACCCAAAAAGAAAAAAAAAATTCAGAATTTGGAAAACTCAGAAAATAGGTAAATGGAGGGGAGGCAGGGAGAAAAGAGAGTTGAACTCCAGGAATGGTTCGAAATAAAACACAATAAGGGGCCGGAGCAATAGTCCAGCAGGGAGAGCATTTGCTTTGCATGCAGCCAACCCGGGTTCGATTCCCAGCATCCCATAGGGTCCCCTGAGCACTGCCAGGAGTGATTCCTGAGTGAAGAGCCAGGAGGAACCCCTGAGCATCACCGGGTGGGACCCTAAGAGGAAAATAAAATAAAATAAAATAAAAACAAACACAATAATTCCAGGAACGGGAGAAAAAGTCAGAGGGACACAAAGGAGCCCGCACACACAGGGAGTGCCGCGTGCTGCTCGGGGCAGAAGGCTTGTGTCTGCGGGCCCCTGCCCCGACTTCCGGCCCCAGCTTCTGGGCACCACCAGGAGTGGCCCCCAAGCACTGAGCTGGGAGTACTCTAAGTGCTTCCAGGTGTCACCCCAAAACCAAAGATGAAAAAAAGAAAAAGAGCATGTGAGAAACAGGAGATCAGAAGCGGAATGTTTCTACACTCCACGGGAAACCAGTTAGAAGCTGCCGGAGGAGGAAGGAAGAGAGGCAGGACCTTCTCCTGCCACGGGGCAGCGGGCTGGGCACCAGCCTTCCAGAAAGATCTGCGGAGTGCCAGATCCAGCCGCCTCCTCCAGTGGGCGGGCGGGAGTGAGGCCTCAGCTGGAACGCAGTCTGAGCCGACCGTGACGGTCAACGGTCACCTGGCAGGGCAAGGGCAGGGCCTGTCGGCACCAGATCAAAGGACAAAGGCCCGAGGCCCAGAGGCTGCTGGTCCTCACCCTCGTTTCTTACATTGCTTTGAGTCACGCCCGGCGATGCTCAGGGGCTCCTCCTGGCTCTGCACTCAGGAATCACTCCTGGCGGTGTTGGGGGGACCCTATGGGATGGGATGCTGGGAATCGAACCCAGGTCGGCCGCGTGCAAGGCAAACGCCCTCCCCGCTGTGCTATCGCTCCAGCCCCTCTCCCTATTTTTTTTTTTGATAAGAGTTCTCGTGTTCTGGGCCGGAGCGATAGCACAGCGGGTAGGGCGTTTGCCTTGCATGCGGCTGACCTGGGTTTGATCCCCGGCATCCCATATGGTCCCCCAAGCACCGCCAGGAGTGATTCCTGAGTGCAGAGCCAGGAATGACCCCTGAGCATCGCTGGGATCAAAAAGCAAAAAAAAAAAAAAAGAGTTCTCGTGTTCTGTTGCCGGGCTCAATGGGCACTTTCTGTGACACAGGGAGCACCTTCTCCCATTCTGCAAATGGCCTTTTACCTTAGCCAGAGCTTCGATTCATGGATTCATTTTTTTTAATTTTTATTTATTTATTTTTGGCTTTTTGGGTCACACCTGGCAATGCACAGGGGTTATTCCTGGCTCTGCGCTCAAGAATTACCCCTGGTGGTGCTCAGGGGACCCTATGGGATGCTGGGAATCAAACCTGGGTCGGTCGAGTGCAAGGCAAACGCCCTCCCCGCTGTGCTATTGCTCCAGCCCCGACTCATTTTTTTAATCCATACATTTTTAAATAAAAAATCTCTAAAAAGAAATGATTAACAGTGTAGAAGTATCTTGAAAATATTTCAAGACTTCCAAGTATTCCAAAACGTCCAAATATTTAAAAGTATTGCAAAAGTATTGCAAAATGATAAATATTGCTATCAATCTGTCAATCCTGTCCGTGTCCAGGCCGGGTGAGGTTTCCCATGTTGGGTCAAATTAAGCTGCAGGCTCCGCTCCTGGTGGTAGTGGGTTTGCCTTGAGCGCGGCCAGCCTGGCCGAGCCGGGTTCGATTCCTCCGCCCC